CGCAAATATTTGGGATGCTTAAGTCGTTCCTAGGAGATGCTTTTGCAACGATGTTACACTTAAAACTTAACTTCACAAAGCATATTTGCAATACTAAATATGTTATGCGGCAAACGATGAATAATTTGGTTTATCATTATTATATGATGCTCAGTGCCAACTTAATGTTATGATTAAGATGTCGATTAAACGATGATTAGATTACTATTCGAAAAGTGTCGCATGATTTCTTGTTGGTTCTACTAAGAACAGACGTTTTTCGGAACCAGTAGTGAAAGTAGTAATGACTTCCAATAAGCCTTTTAAATTAATTTAATTTTAAAATTATTCTGTTTTATTCTATTACAAATTTCGATTTGAATGAAAATAGTGTTGTAAATTATTTCAAATATATTTATTTTAAAGTGCACCCTTCTATGTTCTACTACTGGTCACACATTTCCAAAGGAATTTGGGGGCAAGAAAGGGTTCACCGCGTATCCCGATGCGTGTTGGCAGGCATATCTTCAAAAAAAATTTTTAGATTCTATATCGAATTGCCGACGATATAGTCCTTATGGCAGAATCACTTGAAGATCTAAGCACTATGCTCAATGACCTCAATAGTGCTTTCCAACGGATAGGTCTTAAGATGAACATGGATGAAACAAAGATCATGTGTAACGTCCATGTCACACCTATGCCGGTAGTTGTTGGGAGCACTAAGCTCGAAGTTATTGACAAGTACGTTTACCTGGGGCAAATAGTCCGACTAGGTAAGTCCAACTTCAACCGAGAGGTCAATCGACGGTTTCAACTCTTCAGGGCAGCGTTCGGTAAATTACGACACATCTTCTCGTCAGTTATATCTTAAAACTGAAAATTAGATTCTACAACCATTGCCTGTTGCCAGTGATGACTCATGGATCTGAGATATGGTCTTTGACTGCTGGCCGTATGAGGACACTCAAGGCTCAACGAGCTATGGAGAGGGCTATGCTCGTAACTTCTCTGCGCGATAAACGTAGAAGTGAGGATATCTGCTGTAGAACCAGAGTAGCCGACATAGCCTAACGAATATGTTAGCTGAAGTGGCAATGAGCCGGCCATAAAGCTCGAAGAATTGTCAACTGATTGGTAAAAAAGGTATTCTCGAGTGGCAGCCTCTTACCGGTAGTCGAAATCTAGGACGACCCCACACTAGATGGAATGATGACCAGGAAGTCTATGGATGCAAGTGGCTGAGGACCATGCAGCATATTCAGCTATGGACTTGTGAAGAGCTATAATGATGATGATGATGAGATTCTCTAACATACGGGCTTTGTCACGGTATTTTTACCACTGAGTCCGTGGTTAAAAATTGTAATTTATAGTTTCTTTAGTCTCGGCGGGGATTGTTTAAACTCCGATTGTTTGGATTCTAGTTGTATATATAATATATTTTAATATAACCTAGGTATAAAATTAAAATGTAAAACTAACAGTAGCGTGAAAAATTCTTCACATTAAGCGTCAAAGTCTAATTCGCTTTATTTACACATGTTTATTACAAAATACAGCAAAACGTATTTTGAAAACTTTGATTTTAATTAAGGTTTGAGAAATCCTTTGAAGAGATTCGCCTAATTCAAGTTCAATTTGCACTATATTCATTACATTTTAGATATTTAAAACATCTTAAAACGCAAATTAGATTCTGCGAGGTTTATTAGAGAATATTCCTTTACAATTTCGATGAACTAGAAAATAAGAGTTAAATTTAAAATATTCGAAACTTTTTTCGGAGCCAAGAGCTTGATAATTTTTATAGCAATTGCTATGAGGGTTGAGGCATTAACAACTTATTGGCACGGCGCTACTTACGTATGAGGTGAAATATTCCACTGATTTCATAGCGGATGAAGTTAATTTTAGCTAAATGTTTCTTTTTGAAGTATTAAATAGGTTTTATATCAATTAGATTTAAATATGGACAAACCAAACTACGGATATTCTGAAAAGTATAAGAATTTAAAATTAACGTTAAAAATTTGTAAAAAAAAATACAGCACTGAGAAATTTTTGTGTGTACTATAAATATACTAGAACCTGAAAACTTATAACAACATCGCCACTTTTGGAAGATCTAGATATTACTCCTAGAGACATCTGATGAACGTAATTTCATTGATTGAAAATTAAAACTATTTTTTTTACTACTTCAACATTAAACAGGAAAATTGTTTCTGCCAAGGAGTCAACATGAATAAACTTCTTAACTAATATTGCCAGTCCTTGACTATCATCTCATCTGATTGTAAGTAGTGTTTTTTTCGATATTGGTAAAGGTCACTATCTGAACAAAAGTCTACTCAATCTTGTCTTGAAGACACATATATTGTAATTGTATGCGAAGAGAGATGCTGGAAAACTATTCCACTTCTTTGCTGTATGCATAACGAACGATAAAGCAAATCGTTGTGATGATTGCGAGGTGACTTAGCAAGGGTGCTGCGGTACTTTACCCCTGGGCAGTTTCTTACCGTATATAAAGCGCAAGTCCGGTAGTGCATGGAATACTACTGCCACATATGGGCTGGAGCTGCAAAATGCCTCCTAACAGAGTTGGGCTCATTGGAATTGTGGTCAAGCACTGGCGTATAATAAGAAAAAAAAATAAACAAAGGATTGGAGACCAGACCGTCTGGACATCTTATTTGTTTTTAACGTTAAACAGCATTGCAGCAGATACTGTATTCTATCTAGAAGGGTTTTAAAATCGCTACCATTAAGCACCACCATGCATTCCATTTCATACTTTAGTTGTGACAACACACCAGTCTACATTGTTTCGTGTTGCCTTCAGGTTTTCATTCTTTGTTGTGGCGGCGTAAAACGAATTCATCACCAGATTTCCTCCCGCGGGTGTAGTAAGAGGCACAGGGAAAATATGAAAGAAATCATATCGTTTGATACACAACTACATCTAACTAATGCCAAGAGACTACTTTGATTTTGGCTTAAAGCCAAACTACATTGGGCGAGTAACGTAACAGACGTCCATCATCCGGAGCTAGTTTGTCCGTCAATTTGAAAAACGTATGTAGCGGTTGTGTAACGATAAATCGATATGTCAGTTACGCCCTTATAAACATTAACCCACCGACTGCTGGATACTGTTTCTAAATGTTTTCATACTTAATTGTGTAACGGGTGAAATTCAAAAAGAATATGTATAAAAAATTTAATCCCGTGTAGTGGCGGTGTAAGAATATCTACCACGCCATGTCGTCCCATGGGTGCCGTTAGAGTCTACAGATCGAAACAAACCTGGAGGAAACCGTCTTCCTAACAACTCGAAATTATAAAAAACTGCGGCTGCCAGTCCGCTTGCCGCACGTTTGCAAACTGGGGCGAAATTCCCCCTATGAGACAATCTAAGGGGGGAGGCCTGTGTTCAGCAGTGGACTTTAATAGGCTGTAATGGATGGATAGTGGAACACTATTAATATAAAACATTTCTTTTTATATTCATGCATTGCATTCGATTCTGAGCTACAAGTCTCTACTCTATTCGTGATCGGGGAGTTAGGTTAAAATCAATTATTTAATTAAACCCGGAGAGACATATACAATATGTAACAAAAACCCTGTGGTTCCCATTAAGTGTATCATCAGAATCGGTATCCTACATAGAAATAATTTTTTTTTTAAAAAAAAAACACATTTAAGAAAAATTTTATTGAAAAAAAAAATTAATTTGCAAATTGTACGTGGTTTTATTTCCTCTAACTCACAGGAGTATCGGTAATGCGGGGTCTTTGACAATCTTCGTACTCCTCAGCCAATGCAGAGCTAATAAAACCACGTACATATAATTTTTTTCATTAGAATTATTTTTTAAATGTGTTTTTTTTTATGAAAAAATTATTTCTATATCCTTGGATACTGATTCTGATAATGCAGTTAACAGGAACCACAGGGTTTTTGTTACATGTTGTATACGAAAGTGAGTTAATAAAAATGTGATAAAGGATTAAAGTTATGTTTTAAAAAAGTTCTGCTGTGTTTTGTTGGTTCTTCTTAATTTATTCCGAACCAGTGGTACAGCTTAATCTCCTGTCTCTGGATTTTTTCCTAAATGAATTATTATTAATTTTCATATGATAAATAAATTATTCATTATTAGATTTACTTTTATTATAATGAGATTAATTATATTATTTTATATATTTGAATTTTATAACATGTTACAAAAACCTTGTGGTTCCCTTTAAGTGCGTTATATTATAGTATAATATTTTTATCAGAATCGCATATGTTATGATAACGCAGTTAACATGAACCACAGGGTTTTTGTTACACGTTGTATATTCATATATTATATTTAATTATCTAAAAATAGAATGATTTAAAAAAAATATAAAAAATATTTTTTGTTAATTATAAATATTTCACGAATAATTTCTTTATTAGGTACAATTATTAGAACTTTTTATTTATATAAAGCTTTTAAGTTATATGTATAAACTAATAATCTTAAAAATTATAAAAAAAGTAATTTTTAAAGAAATTACTTGTTTATATGTGCCTTAGTATTATATAATTTACTCATTAAAATTAGCAATTTCAAAAAAAGAGATCTTTCTTGTTAATAAATTTACAATTATCCCTTACATTTTATTAGCGAAAATGACTTTATGTAACAAACCATTTTTGGTCTTCGAGCAGGAATAGTAGGAACTTCTTTAAGATTATTATTCTTGTGATTCGTACCGAATCAAAACTTCCAATGAGATTTTTATAATATATATTGAATAAAAATTATTATCTTCTATTCCATTCTATTCTATAGACGTCTTGAATTCCTTTCTGGCTAATACAGCTTTTGCTATAAAACAGCGAATGTAACATTTTTTTTATTTATTTAGAGAACCACAAACAAGTTTACAATATATCTTATGCTAAAGCTTATGTTCTATTACACAAAACACACAATGCAATGCGAAATATAACATTTGCAATTATTTTTGTCGCAGACTGGTTCCCGGGCTGGCGCAAGCACAGCAGCCAACCGAACGACGACGGTACGTCTGGTCAGGATTGTGTGGAAGTTCGGCGAGAGTTTCCCCCGCGACCCACACCCTCTGAACCTACCTTCATGTGGAACGATAGAGGCTGCCACGAACACAATTACTTCGTGTGTGAACGTCCTTCCATAGAAGGTAAGATAACTTAGTTATTCCTTGTTTATTTTCATTCTTGTACTATAATGTCGACGTACTTATTTTGTATATTTAAAGTCCCAGTAAGTGACTGCCGCGTTGGTCTAGTGAAATCATCGGGCAACAGTAATCTATAAATATCAAGTAAGTTATTGGGTTTTCCTGTCTAGAGCAGCGAGTCATTATAATATTGGGTGTGTTTTACTACCATGTTTCGAATTATTTTTATTGAATAAGGGTGACAAACGAGCACACAGTCTACCTGATGGTAAGTGGATGATGTAGCCCATAGCAGGCCTCTGTCACTCTTGCTACGGCGTGAAATAATTATATAAAATCGCGACGCACCTAGTGTGAAAACGAAATACGCAGTTGGGGCTAGCGCGTTGTAGGCGATTGAATTTTAAAGTTTTTTAACGCTGTTTACGTAAATAAATAAGTTTTTGTAAATACTTGTTGAAATAGTTTTTGTTTAGTGTTTATATTATTTTAGTATATTTAATTGTTGGATAAAACAGTTAAGAAGTTTTAATATACTTTAAAAATTATATATATTATGTATATTACCCATCTATTTGATAAATTTTAATATGGCAAAATGTCGTCCTACTATAATTGTTGCGTGGTTAGGCGCTAAATGACCAACAAAATATTTCAGATATATAATTCTTTAAGTTACCGAAGGATTTTAGTAGGAAGTTATGAATCGTGAATTTATTTAATTTTATTGTTAGATAGGTAGGTACTTATAGCAAAAAAGAATTAAGTAACAAGTTATCTAATACCTACGAACTTTTTTACAAAATTTTGTTGAAATTTACTTCACTATCCAAGTATCTTCTTACAAGCTATACTTGTCTTTTGTATTTAAAATATTTTAAGTTATAATAAGAAAAAATACTGAAATTAAAACTTTGTTTACTAACAAAATTTTAACTAAGTGGAATACGATTATATTTCTGTTAGGAATCGTATTTCAAGATTATTTGTTGTTTACACTATCTACCTATTTCTTCCGAGCCCAATCATTGTGATTCCCGACGAACGGCCTTGCAAGGTGCATGCGATAGGCATCGCAGAAATCACATAAGTGCGATAATATGGTCAGTCGATCATAACCAGAAGAATTTCACCTAAGTAACTTAATTAACATTTCGCAATGTATTTTGTTACTCTTTATTGACATCCCTTTGTAACAACAGAAAGTCCACCGTAAAGTAGGAAGGGGAAAAGATGCAAAGTAATACGGAAGCTCTCGCGCAGCGATAAAGTTTTATTTGGCTTGCGCGAGCGCGATTTATCTAATTAATAATAATTATGTAGGCTATTAAACGTCGGCTAGCATTCAACATCAAAAGAGTGTAACTTCTGTACGTAGTACTATTATTTATTATGTGCCCATAGACATCTACATTTATCCTCGATTAAGAATCAAAACGCAGATGCGTTGTCATCCCTGAGGACTAATATGGAATTCCTCGTTTCTAATTAAAATCTCTCTCCGGTTCTCTACACTAATTATGGGAAATACAGACTGCTGTGTTTTGTGTAAGCTGCTATTTTACGCTGGTATTCATATAGTATATGCTGTTTTGCGTTTTGCGGACATAAAATGTTTATCTACGTTAGAATTTTAGCAATTAAATCTTTGACCATTTCACTGACCCATGAGTCTTATACGAATATTTCCATTGTTTAACTATTATACTAAGATGGAATGGCTCGTTTCAAGTAAAAAAGGGTCTCCGGATCTCTACACTTACCATACGCAACACAGCAGTATTAAGCTGATATTTTACGCTGGTATTCTGTGAGAGCGTGGTGCTTCCCCGATTGAGCCGACCCATTTGTGCTACAACCATAACATAGCTGCAGTGTGGCTCTACCACGTATAAAATGAATGTTTAGGAATGTTCGTAAAGCTTCCTGCGTCTGATCTCTCTCTGATCCCACTGAATTATGAGATTGAGGAAATAGAGAGTGTACCTGAGTTTACGCACACACTGGTGCCCTATAATCCTGTCTTGTACAGATATCTAATCTTAGTTGAGACTGGCTGCCGTGGCCAAAATTACGTCTGGAGGACATTAATATTGTATTTTTTATAGGATAGGGTCACAAACTAGCACACAGTCTACCTGATGGTAAGTGGTTGCTGTGGCCCATAGACACCTACATGTATCCTCAATTACGAATCAAAATGCAGATGCGTTGTTACTCGTAAGAACTAAGATGGAATACCATACATACCATATAAAACACATCAGCATTAGGCTGCTATTGTACGCAGGTATTCTGTGAGAGCGTGGGCCTTCCCCGGTCGAGCCGACTCATTCGTGCTACAACTGTACTACTAATATAACTGCAGCATGGCTCTACCACGCGTATAATTATACTAAGTTCTATTAATATACTAAGTTCGATAGGGCCGGAGCAGAGAAGCCAAAATACAGGATGAGTAATGGCTGGCTGCGATCCCTGAGTCAGATGAAGCTGTAAAAGTCTATAGGATACCAGTACTATAACATATAGAGATAGATAGATAGGAAGTTTCTTATTCCACTGAAATATTCTTATGGGTAGATGTAGATTGTATATGAGTATCGAGCACACAGTACATGAATGTACTTATATTCAGGTGGATTGTGTGCTTGATGTTCACATTTATTCTATAAAACAGTTGGCATTAGAATATCGAATTTTGGCAAATTGATTGACAATTTACCATCGTTTGTTTTCGTAGGCGTTTTCTACTGGGCATAATCTACATAGTAGAATTTACGACTTTTCTGGTTATATGTGACTGGAATAATTTTAAGAAAACCTGCAATTTTTTTAAAACGCGGCAATTTATATGAAATTTTCAGCCATTGCAGATGTTCATGGGCGGCGGTGATCACAAAACACCTACAGTGTGATTCTGTAGCTCTGGTGAGAACCAGTTTCCGATGGGAATCACTTTACAACTACTTCCTGTTTTTTTTGTTCGATATCACAATGTTTTGTAACTTAAAATAAAATATAATGATTAAAAGGCACTCGGTTATTATCAATACACGAAATAATACATTCATACCATATCATCAACATAATACATTGAAACTAAATACAAATGTCAAAAAGGATCCAAGCAGAGTTATAGAATCGTAAGACCCGAGTCCCTTGTTCACTTCGCTCGATCTTACTCACATTTAAAGTCATGAAACTATATGAAAACTTCAGGTGAGATATTTTCCATCTTTTTTTTTCATAAATTCGCCGTATAAACAAAGATTTTAAAGAAAAATTCATCGAAATCGGATGATTTTTCGATTTACTAGAGCCAAAAAACGACAGTATATAATTACCAAAATAGAAATTTGCCTTTATGAAAATAAATATACTATTTATAAATAAAGACTTAAATTTAACCGTTGCATAGTCAATTGAACTATGCCGACAATCTAAGTTTCACTGTTTTAAAACATTGCCATCTAACGTAAAATACAAAAAGTAGTAATATTTTTCCTCCGGTTACTAATAAATTAAATAATCTAAATAACTTAAATTTATATGCCTAAATTCATAATTGATTTTAAAATTGTAACGTTGATTATTTAGTTCTTTCATTATTTCATTTTAGTAGAAATAAATACTATTATCTTTTTAAATAGTAGTTACTTTAAAATATAAGAACTACTACTTAAATAGATAATAGTGACATTCATCGAAAATCATAAATGAAACTAGGGATGTTCCTCAGTTTAATTTCTAATCTATAAAAAGTTTTAGTAGGTATAACTAATACCCTTTTATCTATAAATAAACTAATAAAAACTACAATTATTACAATACTCTTATCATCCTTATAGTTTAAATAAAGAGATTTTCATATATGTATTGGTCAGAGTTTAGAATTTATAATATCATGAATTAGTCGATTTTTGAAAGAAATGGCGGTATTTCGTAAATTTTATGAAATACCTCCATTTCTTTCAAAAATCGACTAATTCATGATATTATAAATTCTAATATCTAGTTATATGTAAGAATTCTCTATATCATGATATAGCTTAACCAATTCAATTAATAGAAATTGTTTGTCGATATTAACAACTAAACACGACATTGCTATTGAGATATTGTTGTTATAATCGTAAAATGATTCCATTAAACACCGCTAGCAGAGCTGATTGCGTATTTTTTTTAAAAGCAGGAATGTTAATAGATTTTACATCAATGTATGCCCGTTCATAGCTTTGCTGTAAGTAAGAGCCGACCCGGTCGCACCTCAATTAATTGTGGCTGAGTACAGAGGATACAGTTTTAGTTTTCATAGTTTTAATTTTATAGTAGCGCCATCTACTTACTGCTAAAAAAACTAGTAATAAGTAACTGATCAAATTAAATACAATTCTATTAAATACTTATTGGTGCAGAATTCAAAATTGTCAGACTTAAATATCCAGACTGGTGGCCACTGTCTTCACGATTTATCATAATAATCAATTTTAGGAAAATCACTAACAAAACTGTGTACACAAAGCTGTGATTAAGAGAGAAAGTCTTTAGATGAACACGAGTACGTTGTGTGTCTATCGGCATATTAATACTTCTCCAATTTCTTTTTACACGAAGTCCTATATAAGCAATTGAAAATTAAGTACACTATGAGATTTTATCCACAATTGATGGAATAATTTGTGATACGGTTAACGCACCTTTTTTTTACTTTTGATGAGACTGTTAAAACAGTTGGTCATATATTAAAATAGATTTCACATTTTCAAAGATAACTATAAAAAAATTGTAACATACCCGGCTTCATAGCTCACATAAGTAAATGAAGAGGCTCTTGCGAAAAAGTACTATTAATATCAAAGAAAGAAAATTTTAAACACATTTGTATCTTTATTGTAACTATAACTTAATTGCATTGACATAATCTTAAAGTCATCTGTCAAAGCCCGTAATCGAACCGATTTAATCGTAAGTTTCGTAGTAGGTAAGCAACCCAAATTCGCTACGCGCCGACACCACTCATATTTTAATTGCAATTTTAAGTTTCGATTTACCACGTTCTCGGTGGTGAAGAAAAACAACGCGAAGAAACCTGCATAACTGAGAAGTTAAAAAAATATTTCGGTAATCATTTTTATGTATATGTATGTGAAGTCGGTCATCCCGCCATGGAGTCAACTCAATCAACTCCTTTTGTCCTAAAACTGTTGTGCCTGTGCCCAGTAGTAGGATGTATTCAGACTGCTATTTTTTTTAATTATAATAGGGCTACCCACTTCTGATCATTGGCTTCATGTATTGTTTGTCAAAAAGACCGGATATTTGCAGTAGTATTGGCAAGCGGGTTGACAACCGCAGCATTTTATTACTTTACACTGTCCTCCTGCTACCATCCATCTCCTGTTTCAGTTTCCCTCTATTGACTCTTACGACACCAATAGGACGACATGGGATAATTTTTTTTTATTTTGGCTTCATAAAGACACAGCAGAAGACATGCCCGATAAAAAGATTGTTGCTAATTATATGATATTAATGCAATTCTGATAAACACATTTATGTGTTTCTGTAGCATATTGTATTTCCAAATTTCAATCATTTCCTACGTCCAATATATACACAGATACCGACGTGTCTCTATAATTGATCCAGTTTTGCTGATTTTAGTACGAAATAGTATTATTTATGTTTCTTAATTCAAGCCCACGCGAACGAAGCCGCGGCCAAAAATCTAGTATAAAATAAGTTATTATACGCAATAAAATCCGTAAAAACGAGTTTTTTTTTATACATTCCATATCAGTCTTTAGGAGTGACAACACATTCTGCATTTTGATTCTTAATTGAGATTAAATGTAGATGTCTATAAGCCATAGTATTCACTTACCATCCGCTGGACTGTGTGATTGTTAACCTTATTCTTTAAAAAAATGTTAGTAAACTAGGTGTAAGCTATGTTATCTTTAGAAAAGGAGTATTACTTACCAGTAATAAAAAGGAAATGTATATTTCTTGAGAAAAGGCTTAAATTGATACAAGTGTTGCAATACAGAAGTTTTAATATCATTGGAATTACGTACACCGAGTCCCAGTTCCATTGAGAACTGAAAACCAACTAACTAACCAAACCATTTCGCTTTCATATACTATAGCACAGTACATTTTCTATATTCCTCTGACGTTGTATTAAGTATTTGCCGTAGTTACCACGCTCAGTTCGCGGATTAACGATAGTAGTGTTGGAAGCCATACGAGTTTACTGGCAAATCCCATTTTTTATTTATCTAAATCAACCCATGTGGTTTAGAGCATATTCGACATAACGCCAACATGCAATCCTAAAATACATAGTTTGTGCAAATTAAAATAATAAATTGGGTAAACAAAATTAAAAATTAGGTAGTATGACAAATTAAATAGAAAAATAATAAATTGATAGAAAATGGCGAAATGTCAAACATCATATAGAATTAATAATTAACAATTAAATTAAAAAATCAACGTTAAAAAAATATATGTGAAAACACATTGAAAAAAATCCAAACCTGACGGCAAACATGTCGAAGTTTTTGTACCGAACGAGTATGACGTCATCGAGAACATATTCGCCTCATGTAACACGAACGCGACGAAATACAATGATCGACTCTTTTCAACCGGCCAGACGGCTGCTATTTTGATCGACAATACTGAAATAAATAATTTCATTCTTTATTCATTATGGCATATCAAGCTCCACTGCCAAACATATGCTTTCCCCTAGCTAGGCGGGTCGACAAGAAGGGATTTTTTATTCATACGTTGTTAACCTGTTAACCAAGCCATGCGCACTTTTGATCGTACAATACCATCCTTCCGTTTGCCAAGTAGTGCGCTAATTAGATCAGAATTATGTAAACGTGTGTACCTATGAAAAAACTATTTTTTCGTTTTAAACAAAACCAAAGACACTATGCAATAGATAATAGTATCAAAGACAAAGATATGCTCTTTTATTTTAAACCATAACCTGGCAATGTTTCTTAGAAAAAAAAAAGAAATCACTCTGAACTTTCGGCGTTCCACGTGTCCTTTTGATGAAGGTGCTCCGTCTTTTTTATAGAATTTTATATTTGTGTCTGGACTAAAAACAAAAGTATTATACTTTTTTATATTCCTTGTAATATAGTAAATACGTAGATATATAATTTGTGGTATAAAAAGTGAAAAGTAAATTGCCAAAAGTACTTCAAAATCCGGAAGCTCCATTTTGGCGGTTGGGTCATAAATGTGTTATTTTCCAAATTCTCATTTATTTTTAGTGTAAAATGTAAGTAAAAATAGTTTTCTTACATATTTCAAATAACTTGACGTTGTATTTATTTCAAATTCACACAAAAATATGTTTGAAATATTGTTCGAAATGTCATACAGATAAAATATTATTATTATTTTTTTTTTAATTTTTTTATATTTTAATATTTTGGTATGAGTAACGAATGGAAACACATAAAACATAAAAATATACATATTTCCAAACATTTTCATATAAATTTCTCTAAAAACAAAAGTGTAGAATTCAAATTAGTAGTAATTTTGTCACTAAAATTGAAGTATATACTACTACTATGCTATACAGGGTAATTTATGTATTTTATTACAATTTCTAGCAACCAAAAATAATTTTATTCGATAGTTTATACATTCAACAAGAATTCCTGTAAGTTTTATCCATAAATATTGTCTCAAAGTGAAAATATAGCAAAATTTGCAATATAGCAAAAAATTTGCTAATTTGCAAATTTTCCCGCCATTACGGTCCCGAGCAAACGGGAGTATAACATGTCGCACGCTCGCTTGGCGAACAGGAAGATCTGCTGCCCATCTACTTTCTCCCTCTGTCACCTCTTATAAAACCACGGGATGATATGGGGTCGTACATATTCTTACACAGCTACAACATGGTTAAATTTTATTATATTCGCTTCGAACACTAAAATGAATTTGAACGACGTTTAAAAAAAATATTGACTTACAGTTTAAGCACATTTTACTATGTACTCGTACCTCTAACGAAAGTGGCTAGTTATCGTTTGTAACATCTATGTTGTCGCACTCAAGTGGTTTGCCAACATCACCCATAAACGTTTAACGACCACCTCTCCGTACCTCGTCATGATTACAACTTGGCAACGAGCGCCATCTAACGTCGTTACGGATCGTAAACAATCATTACTTGGCACACGGAACGTTAATCATGTGTTGAACTTGAGCTATAAAATTGCTCGTGTTACTTATTGAAGTTAGCCTAGATTAAATCAACGGTAAGGAATGTAATGTAATTTAACCTCCTAACCCCTCGCAGGTTATGCATAGGACATCAACTAAAAAAATCTCATGGACGTACACATTATCTTTTTAATTTTTTTCTGCACGGTCACACTGTTTTTGAACGCAACTCTGAAAAAAATATTTTTACAGTTCTCAATTGACACTTTCGCTGCAAAATGGAAGAACAACGCAGGTGCCGAAATTTGCGGGATGAACAAAGTAAGCAATCAATGAATGTTATAAAAATCTCCCATGACTTTTCAATTACTATGTTTGTTTTCTAAAGATTAGGGACTAATTAATTGTAAATGAAACTTATTTTTGATCTAACCTCTTTTTTTAATTAACTACATAACCGTACTTTTTGATGTCCTACCCATATGACATCAGTCGTATACTGAGTTTATTTATTTAATTTGATGTCCTACACATATGACATTCGTTGTAATTTATGTTTTCTTTTTCTTTTCAGTATTAGATTTAGTGAACGATTCAGAGTTCGATTTCTCGTCGGATGACTCCGAAGATGACCCCACATATGAAAGAAACCGGAATCGTAATTATTCTAGATCACCTTCTGACGAATTTAGCGAAAATCAAAATTTCTTCTTCTCTTCACTGAGTCTCCAAATATACCAATTCCTTTTCCTTCATCCTCAATTTTGGGGCGTGGGAGAGCTTCTAGATCACGTATCAGAGGTTCTTTGCGAGGATGAGGTGGACGAAGTAGAGGTAAACAAGGTAGAGGCAGAAGACCAGCTACAGGCTCCCGAAACTTAACGGATGCTTGGGAAAGAGACTCGTTTGAACCAACGATCCACCTAATGCACAGCCCTAACTATGTGGAACGAGACATTTCTAGCATGGAATGGTATGATTTTTTTGATGATTACATCGATAATGAAATTTTAGAGACTATGGTTATGGCTACCAACCAGACAAACGTGCTAAAAAAAGGAAAGTCTATGGATTTGACTATAGAGGAGCTGAAGGTATTCTTTTGAATTTCATTAGTCATGGCAGCTATTAGTTATACCAAGATAGATCTTTATTGGAATCGCAAGTGGAAAATTAATTTGATTGCGGATGCAATGACTCGGGATAGATTTTATACCATCAGAACAGGACTAAAAGTTCTATGCGATATTGACGTCACTGATGAAGAGAAAAAGAACAAGCTATGGAAAGTCTATCCCCTCCTTCGAAGAATTTTCCAAGGTTGTCTTCGTCAGAAGAGATCGGAGCACATCTCTATAGATGAGATGATAATCTCTTTTACTGGGACATGTGGATTAAAACAATATTGTCCAAATAAACCAAACCCCGTAGGGTTAAAGGTTTTTGTTACTGCAAATCCGGATGGGCTCGTACTGGACATGGTAGTCTATCAAGGTGAAAAAACATTTGAAGATTATGTCTATCAAGGATTTTCGCTTTGTGAAGCAGCTATTCTTAGATTGAGTGAATCATTGGTTCCCGGTCATAACCTGTACTTTGACAGATATTTTTTCACAACAAAGCTTTTGAATGAACTACATTTGAGAGGATTGAATAGCACTGGGTCAATAATGAAAAAGAGGGTACCTAAAGGATGTACTCTGTCCGACGACAAAGATTTTATTAAAAAACCCAGGGGCACCACTGAGGTTAAATGTAGAGCTGATGGAATATTAGCCATCACGAAATGGCTTGATAACAAGCCAGTTCTTATGATATCGTCTTGTTTTTCGGATACTGCGTGTGACACCTGTTCTAGGTGGAATAAACGAATCAAACAATACCAGATATGTCAGAAGACCTGAAGTCATTAAAAATTATAATTATAATATGGGCGGTGTTGATCTCACCGACAGGTTACTTGATGTTTGTCCAGCGAGAAGTCGAACAAAAAAATGGACCATACGGTTCATATTTCACATACTAGATTTAGCCGTCTCCAATTCCTGGCTATTGTACCGCGACCGTCAACGTACAAAAGGCGTTCTGCGCCACAAGATTGAGCAGTTGAGAGAATATAAACTCAACTTAGGAGAAAAGTTAATTACAAAAAACTATCCCCCATTACCAACAGAAGAAGTAGATAGCAGTTTAGAAAACTATTTAGCACCAGCACATAAGAAACGCCGAGTTGATATAAAACCTCTGCCTGCTAAAAAGAACAGGAAAGCATTGCATTTGCCAGAGTACACAGATTCTCAAATGCGCTGCCGAAAATAGGGTTGCAAAATAAAAAGCACAGTTAAATGTATTTGTTGTGACATATATTTGTGCCTCGTTAAGGGCCGAAACTGCTTTGCAGAATTTCATAATAAGTTGTCTTGTGTTATATAGCTTATAGAAACTTAGACTTCTTGTTTGATCTAAGAATCCTTATTATTATCATATTTTTTATCTCATATTGTTGATTGATCTCATTGAAGTTGCTTCAAGCTTAGTTTTTTTTCTTGTTATGAGAGAATTTAAATACATATTGTACCATTAGACTGATGAAGTAAGAACTTCTTATAAATAAAAATACGTTTTAAATTTTTTTGATTTGCTTTAATTCACCCCTAAAGTACAATACATAAGACGTTAAAATAATGAATTGACACCGAATGTCCTTTAGGTAGGACATCTGGAAAACCCATTAAATGTCATCAAATATTTTTTTAATTATTTTTCCCGTCATTTTAAGTCCATTTTAAATAAACCTACCAAGTTTCATCGAATTCGAAAACATTTGATACCTCCAGGGGTTAGGAGGTTAAAGGTATTTAAAGGTGTCTCTACGTTTCATTGAGATTGTTTTGGTTTAAAAAAAATCCAATTCCGTTGTATTTTAATTTTATTTTAGCAGTTGAATCTTAATAGTTTCTCTGTCCGTAAATAAAGATAATAGTTAAACAATGGAAATGGTCGTTTAATACTCATGGGACAGTGAAATTGTTAAAGATTTAGTCGCTAAAATTCTAACGTAAACATTTTAAGTCCGGAAAACGTACGGTAACAGCATATAATAAATGAATTCCAGCACAAAATAACATCTCACACGAAACACATCAGCCTGTGTTTCGTATAGTTAGTGTAGAGAACCGGAGATAGTTTGAATTGGAAACGAAGCACTCCATCTTAGTCCTCAGGGATGACAACGCATATGCATTTGAAGTAGTAGCTGTAGCCCATATACATTTATCCTTGATGATTCTTAATCAATGATAAATATATTTTGGCTACAGCATTCACTTACTATCAGGTGGACTGTGAGCTTGCTTGTCACCCTTCTTTTATAAAAAATATATACGTCCTACTGCTGGGGTACAGGCCTCCTTTCAATTCCATGGTTTTAAAATAAATAAAAAGGAGTTATTTTAATTTTATTACTTCAAATATATATGATTTATCTTACTTAAATGTTACCGCATGGCATAATGGTTGACACATTCACTAGATAAAGTGTGTAGTTAAATATCGAAATCCGGTAAGTCCCACCACTACTCAAAATTAAACTATTAAAGGCGCCAAATTTAAAATTTAAATCTTTATAAGTTCGTTTTCACCGAAATGAGTAAGTTAATTAAAACTCTATGAAAATAACGGTCAAAACCGACGATTTTTTTTATATCCCGGTAAGTCCTTTGACAAGCGTTTATCAATATCAAGCATGTCCGCACCGGCTAATCAGAGTAGAGTATAGCGCAAAGATGGGTGCTATTCGCATGAGTTATCGGAAGCAAAATACTTTGCCCTCGTAGTTTTTATTTAATTATTTCGAACAAAATGTGTGAAAACTGTTTAGGTCTAAATGTGGTGGAACCAGATAAGGCAAGGAAAAAGACTATGTAAATATTTAGACAGAAACGGACCGCGGAAAAAGCAAAAAGGTAAATGAAACACCAACACAGTACCTATAGTCAACCAAATCTAAGAAATACCTTTTGACGTTTCACACTAATCATTCCGCAATAACTTTGCGCAAGCGTACTCATATGATTTACAATAACCTTTTACCTAAATCCGAAGAATTATGAAGTTATCTATATTTAATTATAACTTGTTTAGTTTTTTATCGCCAATTTAAATTCCAATCTTTCAAACAAAGCAAAATATTAAAAAATAACCAGTATCAACTTTTTTACTTGACGTCGTTTCAATGATTTGTCGCTTTGTGCCTTACCGTAGTGTTTGAATGATTAAAATTCATTGATATGCGAATAATCGGCAAAAATATTCAAATAATCGTTGAATCATTAATTTTTTAATGTATTATTGGTTTAAATTATTTTTATTTTTAAAATTCTTTAAATTACATGAATCATGAATAAAACAAGTTTATATTTTTTACTTTGTCAACGTAAAGGACAATGGCGAACTTCCAAATAAATTTTAGTTGACTTTTTTCTTGCGTCTACAAATGCAAAATATGTGAAAATATAGATTAAGATCCAGAACATTTTTTCTTCAGACATACTACACCACGAAGTCGGGAACTAGAGATATTCCATTTTAAACAAAATGCAAATCAGACTAGGCTGTATGGTATAAAACGCCTTAACTGGCAAATCGTTACAACAACTAGTTAATATAATTTTCATATATGTTTGTATAGGGTAGTTACTAGCATAGAGGGAATCCTTAAAGAACGCATTAGTATATATAGAAGAGTTTTCTAAATAAAATAAACGTCAAACTCCGTTTCATGGTCACTTGGAAGAGAAGGCCAAATTGGCTTGGCGTGCTCAGCAGAGCGAGACAGTATTTCATGCCGGCACACCGCCTGCAACTTTACAAGGCGCAGGTTCGGCCGCACATGGAATACTGTTCCCATCTCTGGGCTGGAGCTCCCCAGTACCAGCTCCTTCCACTTGACCGCATCTAGCGCAGAATGGCTCGAATCGTCGACCGAGTGCTTTCCGATCGGCTTGATGCACTGGCCATGCGAGAGATATTGCATCTCTTTGCATTTTCTTTCGCATATACCATGGGGAGTGCTCTGAGGAATTGTTCGGATTAATCCCAGCCGCCAAATTTCGTGAACGCACTACGCGGCAAACGTCCCGATACCATCCATACCATCTGGATGCCTGGAGGTCCACCACTGTACATTTCACAAGGAGTATTCTTCCGCGTACGACCTCTCTGTGGAATAGTTTACCACCGGAGATTTTTCCGGACCGATACGACCTGGGAACCTTCAAGAAAAGAGCTTACTCGTTTCTAAAGAGCCGGCAAAGCACCTGCTATTCCCTTGGTGTTGCGGTTGATTTTGGGCGGTGGTAGTCACCTAACATCAGGTGAGCCGCATGCTCGTTTGCCCCCTATTCTATAAAAAAAAGTTCTTTATCGGTCTTGACTGACGAAGCTGCCTGACTGCTTGGGTGTGGCAGAAGAAGCACGAGAGTAGAATAAATGCAGTAGAAATGCGGTCGCTAAGGAGTATGTTAGGGCTGAATCTGAGTGACAGGGTGAAAAACTGTGTGATAAAAGAAGAGTGTGGTTTGCAAGATGATGCGGTGACCAGGATTAAGAAAGGAATGCTTCGGTGGTTTGGTCATGTAGAAAGAATGAATGCGGAAAGACTGACAAAGCAAATATATGTTGCAGAAGTGAATGGAAGAGTCGGAAAGGGACGTCCTAGGCGGAAGTTTGTCGACCAAATTGGCGATATACTAAAAATGGGCCAAATTAAGAGTACCCTTAACCGACGACCATGTATGCGTAGGTATATGGATGTGGAAGCGGCGAGAAAGGTATGTCGGGATCGTGCTAAATGGAAGTCTGTAGTCTCTGCCTACCCCTCT